CTAGTGGCAGTCATGAGCTCTGGGACGGGATTTATCAATCTCAGCTTAGCAAATGTCTTAAGTCAAAAAAGTTAAGATGTCCCTAATAAATATCTTAAACTGATTTATTACCCAGTCTTAGCAAATTCTTGGCTTAAAAATCGTCCTTAGATGGCGCCAACGTACAATCAAATTTCTAATTTTATGCAATTTTTAAGCTAAGCAATATGGATAAATTTGACTTAAGCAAAAAAATGGACTTTAAGTTAATTTTTAGTTTGATAAATCTGGCCCCTGTTATTTCCATTCGTTTGAACAATAAAGAAATGTGTATCTTGTATCTTGTAATGGGCGTAATAGTGCCCGTATATAGGCTGCAAAGCATACCTCAGTGCTTTGTTATTAGCAAAATGTTCACAGCAGACAGAACAGATCCCCATGACTTGGTCGCCGGGGGCGAGTGTGGGTGTTCATGAGGAATATTTTTAAGAGTATGACCTTACAGGGCATTCTATTCTTACCGATATGGCTCAAGAAAACATTGTGCCTATATTCACAAAAAAGATAACAGATGCATGTCCTGTACATACAGTGAAGCTAAAGAGAAAGTAAACTCTCGCTGTGCAAATCGCTTGTGTACTTGGGCAAGGCACTTTATCTACGGTTGTCTCTCTCCACCTAGGAGTACAAGTGTGTACCTGATAGGCTCCAACACAACTGCGCTGATTACTAGCTGCATTATTATGGAATAATATTGTAATTTAATTTAATAATTTAATTTGGCGTTCAATGTGTTCCATATGTCTTTGATACAATGACCGGGGTAGTGATGTGAAGCGCTTAGAGGTTTTGTAAAGGCATGAAGCGCTATAACGACATATTATTTATTATTATTAGTAGCACAACAAAGTATTACAGCGCCCTCTATACAATAATTCAATCTCTAATCCGCATGCTTTCACAAAACATTAAAGTATTCATCATTATTATCATCAATCCATCATCATCCCAATCACCATCAAAATCATCATCCATAATTAAATACCATCATCATCATCATCAATATCATCAACTACATTATGATTCTCATCATCGATTATCATCATCACCACCATTATAATCGTCCTCATTATCTTCAATTTAATCATCAACATCCTTATCATTATAATCATCATCATATTCGTCGTCATCGTCATCATCATTATCATCATTATTATTATTGGCTTTTCCCAGCAGTAGCTGTAAAAGCTTTTGTTGTTGTTCTGTTTTGTTTTTGTTTTTTATTTTTTCTTCCATATCGTTTTTCCTATCGTTTTCCACTGGGTTTTTCAACCAAGCTTGGATCTTTCCATACTTTGTCGAAGCATATCAAGGATGTACCTCATAATATTTAGTGTCAATCTAGAGTTGGGTGTGGATATGAGAACCAACTAAAGGGATATTTCAAAAACGTGTCAACTGATCTGAATGATGAGGGTTGGCTTATGCCCGCAATGGTTACGAGTCTCAATGTACCTTGTAGCGGCTGTAGTTAGAGTCTCACTAACGACTCGTTAGTCGTGAAGTTTGTATTCATTGTTTACTGTCTACTTCATTATTCTTTTTACTAGTATTAGTATTTTTGTTTTTCGTGTTTTTTTTTACTTTATACTTTTTAATTACATTTTTGTTGCAATTTCATCTTCAGTTTCTCATTATAGCAATGAGGAAAATGTCCTATGTTCTGTTGTACAAACATACAAAGAAAGTCTAATAATTATAATTATTATTATATCTCTGAGTGTGATACAAAATTTAACTTAAGCTGAATATATTTTTCAGAGTATAATAATATGTAAACACTGTGTACATAAATTATTTAATAATGGAAGTTATTATTAAATTTAAGTTAATTTAAATAATGCAACCAGCGTTTTTATTTCACCAGGCTAACACGGCTCTATCTACTATTATATTAATAATAATAATAATAATAATAATAATAATGATGATAATAATAATAATAATAATAATAATAATAATAATAATAATAATGTTAATTTTTATTAAATTTAATACGATTCAGCTATTCCATTATTTTATTGCCGGCATCACAGTTATTGTGCTTATAAAATTGTTACTCAGTTTTTCCAGAGGGAAAACAATCATCTCCTGATCAAGTTTGTTCCCATAGCAACGACTATGATAACAGTATTGAAATATTCTTAAAAATTGACAAACAATAATATTAACCAACTGCGGCCATAATATGTAGATAATGATTATTGAACTGCCAGTTTAAATATTCCTTATCCTTTACTCGCGCGATTCACAGAATAATGAGTAATGGAACAGTGAATATTCAATCGGTTCCATTATTATATCGTCATTGATATTTAAAAGAGGTTCTCTGTACTACAGATACGAAAGCCTTTACATAACGCCTAGGTTATTTTAACCCTGTTTGTATCTACTGAAGCGTTGCCTTTGTGAGGCTTGGTACGTGGTACACAGACCTACCCTATTATGTTTCATTCGTAGTCGTCGAGAATTCCACACATAGGCGTATACTAAACAGCCGCTGCTAAATAACCGTATACCTATTTTTTGTTAGTATGCCTATGAGATCCATAACCGGAATGGGATATTATAGATTAATTGGAACCTTAACATGTTCATTTTTTCTAGTATTTTATACGATAAATGCACAGAATACCGGTAAGTTTGAGACTATATTATTATTCTTTGAAATAAGCCCAATAATTTTCGAATTTTGTAAGTAATCTGATTATGTCGATTGTTTGGAATATCAATGCGGTACCACCACAATGGGCATAGCTTAATAGATCATAGACCAGTGAGTGTAACGCACCTACTCTATATATTAACGTCAATATTATATTCTATATTCAACACTTTAAGAATCTCTAACCTAGAAAACATAGAACTTGAGCAAC